GAATCTAGCGTAATGCCGCGATCGTTACTGTCACAAACAACGAAATTGAACCACCAAGCAACAAGAAGAAGAAATGGATGACAGAAGAAATATTGATACTTATGGATGAACGAAGAATTTTTAACAAAACAAAAAACAAGGACGAGACTGAGTATGAAAGGATCAACAAAGAGATAAGAAATGAGATCCGTAAAGCCAAGGAACAATGCTTACAAGAAAGGTGCACAAAACTGGAAGAATTGGAGGAGACGCATGACCACTTTAACACAAAGTAGTGAACGAAGTTACAGGGTGAATAAAGCTTTGCAATTTGAATAGCATAGTCAAGGACAATAGTATCATCTCTGATCCCAAGCCCAAGGAACTCCACTGCCATTGGAAGATCTAGGTACACGCAACAACTTTATGCGGAGTATACCAACAGATATTTCAATGAAGAATATGGAGGTGAACCCTCTCCAAAAAAATGTATATACACAGATAATAAAACTGTGACTCCCTGTGAGACGAGCGTGATAACACAGGACTGGCTCCAGTCAATTTTTGTACTGATCCCAAAAACGCCAAACGCAAACCACTGTGCACTGTGATTAGTTCCGAATGATCAGCATAAAGAGTCAAATCCTGAAAATGTTTCCTAAAGTTAATCCATACGAGAATTCACAACAGATATGAAAAAGATATTGCCCCTATACTCAGTTCGGGTTCAGACAAGCCTTCAGCATACGTGAAGCACTTTTCAGTCTAATCGTATTATTTCAGGAATGCAGAAACCAGCGTGAAGGTAGGGTTTGTTAGGATCAATGAACTATAACCAAAAACTGGAATGCTAACACATAAGGATGAACTTGAAGCCTAGTGCGGCTGCTGCGGAGGGGATACCTGTTTTTGTCGCACTCATTATGTTAAATGGCGGAAATTGCTTCCAACACGTATTCCAATTGATGAAACCGGTGAAGGAAAATATGACAAAACTTTCGAAAACGTCATATGTCAGCGAGCAACAGAAAAAAACAACATTCCCCCTTGTGGCATCTGTCTTTCATGGCTTCATTTTTTTGGCAGATATGGCAATGTGTGCGCATTCCAGTTTTTAGCTATAGTTCATTTGTTAGGATAGTACGCGACGCACAACTGGCAACGTAAACGTCGTCATTGGTTCAGGTATGACGTACACCCGTTTTCTGACATCAAAAAACAGGTGTACGCTTGGTGTACGTCATACCTGAACCAATGACTACGTTTACGTTGTCAGTTGTGCGTCGCGTACTATCCTATAATAACAAACCGTACCTTTAGGATAATACGCGACGCACAACTGACAACGTAAAGGTACGGTTTGATAGGATAGTACGCGACGCACAACTGACAACGTAAACGTCGTCATTGGTTCAGGTATGACGTACACCCATCTTCTGACGTGAGAAAACGGGTGTACGTCATACCTATGGTCATACCTGAACCAATGACGACGTTTACGTTGTCAGTTGTGCGACGCGTACTCTTCTAACAAACCGTACCTTAAAGCAGCGTTTTCCTAGCAACGTACATTTTACGCGGCGTATAACGTAATACGGCCGACGCAACGCAATACCTAAAGTCTGTTTTTTTTAAAGATAAAAGTCAAAATGACATTATGTTGGCAATACAATGTAAAATTGTCAATGCTTTCAAATTTTGTATGTAGAAAAGGCTTGTGTTGCCAACATAGTGTCACGGCTTTGGGTTGCCTGACAGAAATCTTGGGTTCGTTTCGTTTATTCCAAAAATCAAAGTCCAATTAACACAGCAATAATTTATTCCACTTAACAATACACTCTGACACTAATTACTTTAATAACTAACTCAACAATTAAACTCTTACAACTCGCAATAATCACAACAATAAACAACTTACAAACCAATGCCGGCCTTCTTATATATTCCTAAATCTTATTTTCCCTATTAAACTAGAATAATTCGCTAGATTCTAGTATATTCAAGAGGGAATGTCAAAGATTCTTGACCGCCTGGCGAACGCCACAATAGTTACTAAATTTTTGACTTGGGGAATTATCTTAAAAAAAAAAACAGATTTTATGCGCTGCGTGAAAGTGTTTTCCTAGGATTGTCAGTTGCGTCCCGATCGTCGCGATGAAGTATATCAAAAAATAAATAAACTTTGGTTCTATATATTACAAGATGAAATTTTGCAACCGCGATCCATGATACGACTAGAAATTCTGCTAATCAATTATTTCAAAAGACGAAGTAAAATTTAAAGCATATTTTAGAGTTACAAGGCAGCAATTCTCATTTCTCCTTGATCTTGTGAGAAAAGATTTAAGTAAGGAATCATGTTTGTGCGTGTGCGACATCCTATTTCACCACCTGAAAAACTTGGCCTGACATTGAGCTATATAAATATAATACAACAGGAGCACTTTCTTTGCCAACACGTAGCGTACAACTGAATAGACTGCTATCCGAGCAGTCGTTCAGTTGCGTCGACCGTATTCGTATTACGCTAGCGCAAGTCGTTTTTACGCAATTTAGGAAAACGCTTCCATTTGATTTTCATTAGACATGTCCTCAGCGTTTTACGCCGACCGAATTACGTTCTACGCTGCGTAAAATGTGCGTTGCTAGGAAAACGCTGCTTAAACGTCGTCATTGGTTCAGGTATGACGTACACCCGTTTTCTGACGCTGATGCTGACGTCAGAAAACGGGTGTACGTCATACCTGAACCAATGACGACGTTTACGTTGTCAGTTGTGCGTCGCGTACTATCCATAGAGAAATATAATAAACCAAGGTAAGAGTACCTGATTGCTAACATGCAATTTTGTATAGCGCTGACGTCACAGCGACGGTGGCGTCAATAGTGGCAGCCGGAACAAATACTGAAATGGCGGGAATTTTGAAATTTGACTCGAGTTGATTGCACAAAAAACTTACTTATGTTGTTCCACATCTTTTTTCTCAAATCTGAATGAGAAAAATGATGTGGTACTCCATAAAGTTTTGTGCCATTTTTTGATGTAGATTAAAAAAAAAGGCAAAATAAACACTAAATTGTACTAGAAAAAATATATATTAAAGCTAGATAGGTCAAATACCTAAAGAGTTTACAAACACAGTTATTACATCCCTTATACATGCTTTAATGTATGTACAAGCTAAGCTGGCCAAGGCCTAACATCTACATTTTATCTCTTCTGACTGAGGTCTCCTAAAACAGTAAAAAAATATGCCGTATATCACAAAACTAACATGTATACTTACTGGTTCAGTTTATCCTAATTGTACATAATATTATAGGTACACGATACCGAGCGCCTTAATAAAAATGACAATTTCTTCTTTTTGTTCTTTAGATTTTATGAGTTCGAGTCTTCTTAGGCGACCGCCCAATCAGTTAAAAATGACAAATTTCAACACGGAAATGTCGTTATTTTAAGGTTACTTATTTGTTTTCTCGGTCACAGTTTCTATAGTTATGGATGTTTGATAGGTTTCTACAAAACAGCTAGGAAAGCTCTGTAACTCATACGGTGTCCTTGTCTTGTGAATTGGTATGACAGAGAAAGATAAAACAGAATCGAATGATCGGACTGATCTCTCGTGAGTCTCTAGCTTTCCAAAAATTCCGCAATGCGCTATGCGCAACCGGATGCGCAGTAATAGTATAACCTATTTCGGCTATACTTTTGAAGGTCTTTTTATTTTTTATTGTCTATGGTACTATCCTAACAAACCGTACCTTAAGGACGTTTTCATGTGTTTCATAGATTATCAGAAGGCGCTCGACTGTGCCAAACACACTCACCTAATAAAAATGTTTCAAGATAGGATGATAGATAACAACGATCTACGATTTATAAAGAACTTTTACAGAAATCAAACAGCATCGGCGAGAGTGGGGAGTGACTACACGAAATTCCCGATAAAAAGAGGAATAAGACAGGGTTGTGTTCTGACGTTCTGTCCCCCTAGGACCTATACTCTGAAACGATTTTTGAATGTGCCTGAGCTTAACGTATGTTCATTAGGATGGTATCAAGATTAATGGACAGGTTGTCAACAACATACATTGCGCTGATGACACACTCATAATAGCAGACGATCAAGAAGCATACAACGCCTTGTTGATGGAATAGCTATTGAAGGCGAACGACTCGGCCTAAAGATTAACATAAACAAAACGAGAGTAATGATGATTAGCAGAACACCACAGTGGGAAAATGCCAGCAAGTCGCAAAGCACCTGGGAAGCTGGATAACTGAAGATCTAGATCCAGACGTAGAAATACGAGGCAAAATTGAGCAAGCCAGCAAGAGTCATCATCATGTGTCGAAAGTAGAAGTTCTGAATAGAATGGGAAGAGAGAGATACTTGTTCCAGATAGTGAAAAGGAGGAAAACTGCACTGCATACCTGGGCACATGTTCAGAAATTCCAAGTATCAATTTCTAAAGCTGATGACGCAAGGAAAGATCGAGGGAAAGAGAGGCATCGGGTGGAAGAAATATTCGTGGCTGAAGAACATAAGAGATTGGACAAACCTTGACGCCCATGCACTTTTTAGAGCCGCGCAAGATCGAATGAATATGCAAGAATTGTCAACATTCATTGATGGATAAGGCACCTTGCACCTAAAGAAGAAGAGATAGTTACCAAGGCATATGCACGACTAGAGCACTTTTTATATTAGATGGATCCTAAAAAAGTCATAAAATTCCGAGGACAACTCACTTAATAAATGAAAATGTAGGATCGTAAATACCGAGGCAAATACTAACAAGTGTCACAATTATAACAAAATAAAAAAGATATCAAATTCTCTTGTAATATTTTCAAATAGTATTTTGCGCTTACCATCTGCTCCTATTCCGATAATAGAGACGTAAAATGCAATAATAATTATTATTAGAAGAACCATCAGTTTCTTCATCAAAATGTTATTTTTATCTCGGTGTAAAATTAAATACACAAGTATAAACCGGCTTTAAATTGTTACCTGATCGACAAGTTCTCTAATAATCCACCGTGTTTTTCCAATTGACTTTTCAAAGCCTCATAAGTAATGGCACCCCTGTTGTTCGTATCGGCATCTTCGAACATGGCGACCGTTAGATCTTCGATTTGCTCTTCGCTAAATTGCATACCATTTTCTTCCATACACGCTCTCATTACGTGTTGTAATTCTTTGTGCTGAATAAGACCATCACCTCAAGCAATAATAATAATTAGATTAATTAGTTAATTAAGAAGAAAGGTTGGGTCTTCAAACTTACCATCAATATCGTAGACTTTGAATAAAAATCTGATTTTATCATCGGGAGTTTGGCCTGCAAACTGATGCATAGAATCCATGAACTCTTGCAAAGAAATCGATCCGGAGTTGTCTTTGTCGAAAATTTGAAAAACTCTTTCGGTAAAAAAAGGCTAAAATATAATTATTGAAAATCAGCTAAATAATGTATGTATGTATAATTGCTCAACTTACATTTTTCGATATAACAATCTTCTGAAAATCTTCTCTTTTAATTTCTTTTTCATTGCCGACAGTTTGTCTGAATAATTGTTCCAATCTATCCAAATTGCCTTGATCGATGCCTGTACGAGGACTGGAAGTATAGTATCGTATAACTGATATCAGAAAAGTCTGTAATCTGAATTTACCTGGTGTTAGTTATGGTAGCTAAGAACTCCATAATTTGTTCTGATGTTAAAATACCAACGTTATTATCATCTAATAGCCTGAATAATTTATCACTGATCTGAAAATGAAATTATGAGGAATATTTTATGAATGAGCTGATAAATTCGTGCTATATTTGAAACATCGGGCCCATCGGGGTGCAACTTAATTACAGGCTTGCTATCTTATAATTTAACATTTTCGACCAACAGCACATTAAAAATCTCGAATAATTGATTTTGCTCAGGTAGGTAATAAGAATAAGTTTGTGAAACTTAGTATGTTCTAATTATGAAGCAGCCAACCATGAAAGTCTTATAAGCACGAGCTCTAAATTGTTACAGCTGCTGTGCGATACAGCACAAAACTGACTATTTTACCGAGTTATGAAAGTTAATTCGAACAGAGTCGGCTTACTCGACCGTACTGCAGTTGAATGGGAACAAGCGCTGTGCGAATGCTCCATACTATTGTAAACGTAACAGAAATTGTCATGGGTTTGTTGATGACTTTTTGTGGATACCGGATATAAATGAGGAGCATATTTTTTCGAGCTTTTATACTCTTGTTTTAACAAAAAACTTAACTGCTTATTTATTAGGTACCTATTTCACTAGTTTTGAAAAGCAACATATTTTAAATGGTTTCTTGGAACAGTAAAGCAGTGTCTGATCTTTTAAGCTTTTAGAAAATAGTGAATTCACTAAATTCGAAGGAATGTCCTAATCATCATCATCATCAATAAGCCCAAGTTTAGGGTTTCATCGAGACGAGAAATCTCGTCTCGAAGGCAATTTCTCGTCTCGTCTCGATCATCGAGACGAGAAATCAACAAAATCTCATCTCGATGTTTTTCTCGAAGACAATTTCTCGATCTCGATTCGAGATTCTCGAAAACAAAAACTGAATGTTATTATAATATATTATATGTATATAACCATTGTATATACAATGGTTATTCAATGATATAACATAAGTCTGCACTAAAAGAAAGGGGAAACAGTTTTCAATTAAAAAAATTCCGGTAAATACAGAGCTATATGCTACACAAAAAAACACCGATTATTGGCCCATAAATAAAAAAAATATTTTTCCAAAAAGTGAAAACTTAACAAATCCTTTTTTTAATTTAATCTTTTAGCCATGCATTTAGAATTCACCTAGATAGGTACGAAAGTTTAAAATTGTTTCCTTGTTCGTGAAGAATACACCTGCAACAAACTGATTATACAGGGTGTCTCACAACGTTTTTCCCAGATGATAACTTCGGAACGCGTCATCCAATATAATTGAAATTTTGAGGATCTGGGTAACTTTTTGTATCGCTCCTACCATTGTCATCCAATTTCACCACTTTCGCATCAATTCCGATCAAATGACGTCAACTTTTCGAATCTTAAATTTAACTCATGGTATATTATCGTATTTTTGGTTAGAAAATTAAATTACAATGTCGGCAATGTCATATTTATTAACGCTTTGTTAAAGAAAATAATAAGAAATTATACAGTGTATATACGATGATGCGTACCGAAGTTATCATTTGGGAAAAACCTCGTGGGACACCTTGTATATTAGCTTGGGCTAACATTTCTTGGATTAACATTTTGGATTAACATTTTTTCTTTACGAATATGGAAATCTTAATTTTTTGCTTTTGTTATTTGCTTTGTTATCTTTTTTTTTATGTTTTCTTAATTTTCTTATGCTTAAAATCAATTAAAATTATTTCGTATTCCCTAACATAGTCTTTATTTTCGCTTTTCTGACCTATTGAGAGTTGTCTGTGCTTTAGGTATTGCAGCACCTACATTTTTTCGAGATCGAGAAATCTCGAACTGTTTTTCTCGATCTCGTCTCGAAAAAAAAAAATTCAGTCTCGTCTCGATCTCGTCTCGAAATCGAGACGAGACGAGAACTCTCGAATTTCGAGAATCTCGTGAAACCCTACCCAAGATGTCTTCCTTCATTTGAATCCCGTCTATTTTGAGCCGCCTGGGCTGGAACTGTAACGAATAGATATTTTTTCTATCTCTATTTATGTCACCTCTCTTTTGATTTCGACGAGGGAGAAGAAGACAGCAAGTGCCATAGCGATAAGGATAACGATCTCATCTTAATCATCTATCACATCACATCGTCGCGTCATGGCCTGTCCAACTTTTCCTCCTGCTCTGCTTAATAGCATCAGAAATTCTGACTCACAGTTACACCTAACATTCATCTTTTGATCATTCCTTGTGCTACTTGTTTTGTTCGTATATTTTTTAGTCAATGGCGTTACACCATATCACAATTATCTCATTACAGGCGGTCTAGAGTTGTTCCTCATATTTTGACAATCTACCTTCAGCCTTTAAATTACAGGTAGAAGAAAGGTGAAAATACAAATGGTTTTAGCTGAATTTTCGGAATCCATTCTCAGAAAAATCTACTGCTGTGAATATCCTACTTGTAATGATAAATGCTGCAGATGTATTCGCAAAATCTAAGGCACTGATAGTATCTTCACAATTTTTAGCGCCAAATATAGATATTACCAGCGGCCAAACCAAATATAGGCAATTCATACATATACAGGGTGTCGCCGTTCAACTGGTCAAAAATGCTAGGGTATACCTATAGAGGAATCATAGAGTAGTTTGAGATAGGATACCGATGGTCGGAAATGCGTCGTTTCCAAAATACAGGGTGTTGAAATTTTATAAAAAAAAAACGAAATTTTCCCTCTGTATGGTAATCAGTAAAGCGGCTCTTTGAAGGACTTTGACCTTTTGGATCAGCAATCGTATTCCACAAATGTACTTGTTCCTGGTTTCTCTTTATTCGCTTGACGGATTCTTTCTTTCTACATTTTGATGGTGATCTATCGCCGGTTTCCACAATGTTCAAGAATGATTTGATGTCATTCTCCCCTAACTGAATACTTTCCAGCTGTTCGGAACTTTGTCCTTGGTTCGCATCATATCGGAGTAGTGTTGCCACAAGCTCTTTTTTTATTGGGGCAGATTACGGCAAGATAGCGGGGTAGAATAGAATCGGTGCGGGGTAGCAACACCACCATGCAACACTATGCGGTAAAGTTACTTTACCCCATAGTCTGCGGTAAAATAAACTGCAAAGTGTGCGGTATAGTTACTTCACCGCATAGTGTGCGGTAAAGTAGACTGCTTTGCCAATGATATAGCTAAAATTTAATAACACATGCGTTTTTGACGCGGTTAGGTAAATAACTATAATGTTTTTACATATTTTTCTGCATCAATTATCACAGAAATTCAAAGGAGACCTGGAAGGAATCTCTAAATGAAGTTATATCTTAGGCGTAGACAAAAAACTCGTTGCATAGTTACAGTCTGTGGAACAGTTGAAATAAATAGGTCTGTTTCTGCAGAAATCACAAACCAGTCAGAGTGAATTAATTTCATTGGCTGAAACTAGTTTCTGACTGTTTTCAATCAATTAAATTCGCTCCGACTGACTGGTTTGTGATTTCTGCAGAAACAGACCTGATATGTAAATTGCTTCTCATAATTTGGATTTTTCAAGTATTTTTAATTAGCGATAAGCAGAAGCATTCTTTTTGTATTATAGCATAGATTGTATTTAGACCGGGGTAGATTTAGTTGAGAGGAGCGGAAGGGCGAGATTGTTTTCGAAAGGGGTAGATCTACCCCGAACGGGGTAGCTTTGGCAACAATCGGAGGCTTCTAGCAGGATCTCTTTGACGGGGATCAATTTTGAGGAAGTCATTGCCTTGATCTGGGCATGCTCGACAGGATAGGGCATCTGTAGTTCGCCAAATCGATGTGGGTTCAGGAAATCGCACAGTTGCAATTTCTCAATCGAGGGCTAAGAGCCATAAGAAGGAGAGCGGGATCTCAGTTGTACCTTACATTCGTGCTTAAAATGTCCCCTTCTTCCGTGGCGGTAAATTTCGGAGTCCCCTTTCCCGAACCATTGAAGGCTGAGAGTCATTAGAATGAGAACGAGATTTCAGTAGTACTCTACAACGATGGAAATGTCCTGTTCTTCCGCAGCGGTAACATTCCATTATTCTCCCTTTCAAGCTTTCCTGTTTGATTCTGGTAACAGCCAATCGTAATCTTAGGCACAGACGTTCCTTCCCTTCATTGAGTCTTGATAATCTCTCCTATTTTTCTTCTCGTATTGATACAGCTCTGATCTCTGCTTCCTGACCGGCATTTCCATCTTCTAACTTCTTGAACATTTCCAACTTCCTGATGAACAGTTCCAACTTCTTCCATTGCATTCTTGATTTTATTTATGTCGCCCTTCTAAGACTTTCTCGACTCTAGCCATTCTCGTTGATGTTAAAAAAATCCTAAAGCCGATCCTGTTCTTCTTGTCACAGGTCTTCTTATTGTAAAAGTGCTGCTAGTCGCTCCTGTTCTAACACTTCTTACTGATTAACTTGCTCTATCAATTGAGTCAATACACGACAGCAAACATTTATTTTTGTCGTGTATCAGACTCTTTATTTTAAATCTTAAGCTCTGTGCTGTGGCAAAGTCAAATATTCAAAAAGAACTTGATGGAATGTTCTAGAGTTTTTTTTTCTGTGGACTTGTTTTTCGATGTCGAAACCAATGGGTCACTATTCTTATATCGCACACGGTTTTCAAATTGAATTCTATAGAAGTTTCTATAACTTTTCACAAAATTCGTTTGTGAACTTGTTTTTCGATTTCAAATCCGTTAATAGAGTAACTAAACTGCTGGACAGTTGCTTTGCAACATGGAAAATTTTACCCAAATTCAAATCTCGATATTTGCGGAACGGAAAGAGATATCGAGTTGCGGTATTCGGGAGGTTCTTGACCAACTCTTTGAGAACACGCACAAGGTTTGACCGGTATATTTATTTCATTTATCCACCTATACAGGGTGAGTAAAGGAAGGCATGTTTTTTAAGTAAAGTTTGGGGCTATGCCAGATTCTCAATTTTTGATCTTGGAAATTTTTATATGCATCTTTTTGATCTTTGGACTATCCTAAAAAAAGTGATTTCTCAAATTTTTCGAAAGTTGACTATAACGCAAATTATCGAATTTTTCA